TCTTTCCCTCTGGAAATCACCATACTGTTGTCTGTGTCTGAGGTTTTTTTGTTTTGCTTTTTTGCTTAATCCCTTCACCTTTTTCACTGAGCCCAGCTTGTTCTCTATCCACACTGTCTTAATTAAATGAGTATAAGCTTGTCAGTGCTGTTTTTATTTATGATTGGCTTGATTATTCTGGGCTCTTGATATTTTCCTATAAAGTTTAAAATCAGCTTGTCAATTTCAAATAGAAAAATATCTTCTAGAAGTTGTTATTGGAATTATATTAAATATAGGAATCATTTTGGTGAGAATTTACATCTTACTGAATCTGCTAATGTGTTATATGAGTAAAAATAAAACCTGCAGCCTGTTTTGAATTTGTGGTTTCATGAAGGTGTTTTGCTTTTATTGGGGGATCAATCTTCTAACCATTTTTTCTTTCTTTTCTCATACTTTGTACTAAAACTGCAGAATTTGCCCTGGCTGGTGTGGCTCAAATGGGAGCATCATCCTGTATCCGAAAGGTTGCAGGTTTCATTCCCAACCAGGGCAACCTAAGTTGCTGGTTTGATTCCCAGTCCAGGCACATACAGGAGGCAACCAATTGATGTTTCCCTTTCACATTGATGTTTTTCTCTCTTTCCCTTCTTCTCTCTCTAAAAGCAATGAAAAAAATGTCCTTGGTGAGGACTGAAAAAAAAAACAACTTCAGAATCTTCAAATAAGTGTTAAATTATTTTGTGTGTTGTATCTCTGGTTTTGTATGTGCCTATGTTGATGTTGTGGTTTTCATTATCTTTTATTAGTTTTATTCCTATTTATTTGAAATTTTCAGATGGTGTTGTAAAAGCAAGTATTTTTAAGCCTTATTTTCTAATTATGTATTATTTATTTATAGAAATACAACTAATATTTATATATTGTTCTTGTATTCAGCAAGCATGTTGAAGTATCTTATTACTTCTTAAAGTTTATCTAAAAATTCCTTTGTATTTCCTACATAAAAACTATATCATAGGCAAATACTATTCTTTTGTTTTTAATCTATTCTGCCTATGGTTCCATAATATATTTTAAATTGGTTTCAGTATATCTTTTATTCCTATAAGCTATCAGAGCCTATTAGAAGTATAGAGAAAATAATCAATTATAATCCTACCATTGTCCAGTTAGATGATAACAGATAAATGCTAGTTTGTAGCATTGGATCATAAACAACATACAATTTTTAAAATGCTACTTCCACTTAATAATAAGCCATGGACATAATTTTCTTAGGTGAAATCCCTAGAAATAGGCTTTCTGGGTCACACTTGCTGCCTAATTGACGTCTGGAAATGCTGTGTAAATTCTCATTTATTCACACCAGAAGTATCCTCAAGTTACTGTTTCCAAACACCCTGGCCTGTGTTGAGATTCACACCTTAAGTATGTAATCTTTTTTAATGCAAGTTAAAAATAAAACCTGTAGGCTTTTTTGAACTTGTGGTTTCATGAAAATGCTTTGCCTTTTTTGGGGTATGAATCTTCTAAGTCTTCCATTCCTTATACTTTTGTCTTAAAACTGTAGGATCTTCAGATTAGAAGATATAATACTGCCCTTCACTTTTACAGAGGAGGAGACAAACCTAGAAGGCTGAGTGATTTGTCAGTTGGTGACCTCCTGACACCTTTGCAACTTTTTCTGTGTATTGGTTTGACCCTATTTTCTCTGAAATGGCACTTTGTTTTCCAGACTTTAAAACAATCATTTGTTTTTGTGATAGACCAGAACCCATTATCTAATAAGAGAATTATAATATAGCCTTATATTTATCGAGTTCATGTCCCTCCTGACATTCTCTGAACCTACTACCCTTTTTCTGATGTCATCAAAGATCGCTGTGCAGCAGGTGAATGGTAGCACACATTTCTAGGCCCTTTCTCTGTGAAACACTCTTGTGGCTTCCCTAGACACAGTTTAATTTGAAACACACAAATTTTATTTCCATGCCTCATTTGTCTTGGGCAAAGATGAATAAAATACAATTTCTGATCTCATGGATCTCCATCCCGTGGGGTAACCATGGCACATGGATCTTTTTCTGTGATAACTAGTTCATGGCACGCCATCATTTATTTAGAAGTCTTTCCACTTGTCAGTAGTAGAAAGACAGATTAAACTCTTTCTGGATTGGTGAGATCTTAAAGCTTAGATGGCCTTTTTATGTTCTCTATTCCTTTTCTTTCTCTTCCTCTTTCCTTTTTCCCAGGTCTCACCCAGCATACTGATGTTTCTGTGAATTTGTAGGACAGTTTGCCATCAATATTTTCTTTCACTGTCTTCATCTCTAGGGAGAGAGGTAGTAGAAACCAACACTCTGTCTTGTTGTTACAGTCTAATTTAAAAATGTGAAAGTCGCCCTCTTCCTTTCCCTTTCCCCCCATAACACACCTCAGGAATGAATATGGTAGCAACTTGAAATCCTCTTTGGTAAGTCTAGATTCTTAGTGTAACAGTTTTAAAACAATTTTTTTTAAACTGTCATTGCAGTCTCTTTCTGTTTTTCACTCATGAGCCCCCCCTCCCCACCATCCCTTTCACCTTTTCCCCATGGTGACGGTTAGTTCAACTAATCAAAGGAAGAGTATCTGTTGTACAAACTTTTATGTATAGTAAAGTAACCATATATTGCCCTTCTTAATTCCTTTTACTATTCTCAATTAAGTTTCCAGCAAATGCTTGTTTGAATGTTAGGTTTATCACAAGTGAACTATGAGAAAGTCTTACTTATGCAGGTACTATGGAAATAACAGCTTGCCCCTTTGTAAATTGTTTTTCCTTGGTGCTATGATAGACTGCCACTTTAGGAATTTGTACATTAAAAAGAATAATTTGCTCGGGGAAATTGTTGGATATTCAAAAGAATTAGCATCTGTATTACATTTTTAATATGGGGATGAGGATAGTTCTTTTTTATGGTAATAGATACTGAAGATGTCTATTTGATCAGTTTATATACTTTTTATACTTTATACACAAGGCAGAATCAGAATTTAAACAATTTTTAAAACATTTCCATACAAAAGGATAAAACATATACCATTCTTAAATCAGTAGTTCTTTAATTTTTTTTTTTTTACTTTGAATATCATGGTTCATATCCCTTTCGTGTGTTGAATATTTGGAACTTTAATTTGGAAAAGAAAAATGTGCTTCTTAATTGTCACTACTTCCACAGTAACTGTAATGAAGCAGGACAAAATGCATATTTACGCTTCACTATCAGTCAGTACCCTTCTAGTATTATCAAAAGTTCTCCTTGTTCTTTTAAAACAGCAACATTTTGGTTACCTTAATCAGAGCCTGATGTGTGTTTCTTCTAAATGGCGTCTGATGTGGTGTCTCTCTTCGGTTCTCTGTGGTTTCCTGTTTTTTTCATACATAGAGAAAAGCCTTTTGATGTATTCAGCCTCAAATTTTTTTCTTTTAATGGACTATTAGATCCATACTTTCTTGTAACTACAGTATAACATTGTAAATCTAGCTCACCATTCATTTATTCATCTTGCCACAGAGCACTCCTTGGGAATTCCTCCAGCCCTTCCTTAAATTTTCTGCCTCTATATTCCTTAGCATTACAGTCTTATTCATACCCTGAAAATGTGTGCTCTTCAAGGACAGAGATGGTATTTTGTGTTTCCATAGTTAGACTTCTCCATAGAAATATGCCTTACCTTAACAACTAATAGATGTAACGTATCAGTGACTCCTCAACCTGCTATCCCCAGACCAGGCACATCAGCATCCCTTGGAAACTTGACAGAACTTTACATTATCTCATCCTGAATCAGAATATCTTGAGTTGAAAATCAGCAATTTCTGCATTAACAATCCTTTCAATGATTCTGATGCATGCTCAAGTTTGACAACCACAGTAGTGGATACATTTACATAATGCTTCACGAGAGGGTTGGGATAAGATGCGACCAAGTTAGTCTGTTCTGCCTGAGTCTTTTTGCTATAGAGATACTGGTAAAGAAAAGGCCAAGATTTATATATATGCAATTGTATAAGAGGATATGTATAACTCTTCTACATGCCCTCTTATACACATAGCTGTCATATTGTGAAAACTGCAGCTGTAAAATGTTAAACATATGAATAGTTTCTTTCTTCCACCTATTCAGGAGTAGGCATTTAACATTGCAAAGGAGGAAAATTAACTAAGGAATGAATAATCAGTGTTACTTGTTTTCATGGTGAAGAGGAGCTGGGTGAATGTTGGAAGCTGGTCAGGTAGATAGGTTTGGAGCCTTTTCCCTGGATACCATTATATCCTATTATGAATTTTTGAACCATGTAAATGCATTACCCTGAGAAAAATTTTGATACATGGTATTTAATACAAATAAATTAGTTAATAAGTGTTTAAAAATACAATTCCATGTGATAGAATATTGTGTGGTTGGTTAAAAAATATTAAGATTTCCCTTTGCATTGTATAAAATGTTAGGTAACATGTGTTTCATCTCTGCAAAAAACATGGGGGTGGTGACTGAAATGTCTAAATGACTTTCCACTGATGTCAAGATGGTAGGTGAATGGTACAATAAGCAAAGGATTCTATTATATGAACCCATTGTCTTGTAACTATTTTAGGAAAATAAATAGAGGGGGAAAATTTACCTTGATTCTAAATTAAATAATCTTGTATACACAAAGAGGTCAGACGTATGGGACTTGGACCTAATACCTTCTTCTTTCACATGTATTTTTAGAAATATCTTGATAGTCAAGGGTTGTTTAAGAGAAAAATTGATTTAGATTTTTTGTCATATTCTTAGCAAATGGAAAATAATCCGGTTAGCAAAACCTATTACATGTGTTTTGAATTATGAACAATATTCTCAACTATTTGTCTTTTAGTACAAATGCAATTATATTAATGTTATGATTGAACCATGCTGTTTCAGTGGAAGGTATGTCTTAAATGACACTTGATCCAATTACTCATTTTTTTTTTCTTGTGCAGAACTATCGTGCCATGGAAAGTATTTAGACAGTGCCTTCATGAGGTCCATCAAATTAGCTCTGGCCTGGAAGCAATGGCTCTAAAATCAACGATTGATTTAACTTGTAATGATTATATTTCAGTTTTTGAATTTGATATTTTTACCAGGCTATTTCAGGTAAGTTTCCATTCATTTAATCCTCTTCTCTTGCATGTGTGTGTGGAGTGCGCACATGGATTTGTGTGTATGTCTGTCTTTCACACATATACACAGGCACAGATACACAAACATATTGGAAATAGTCTCATTTTTGGTATTGTATACTTTTAAAGCCAGTCATTGATAGGAGTTTTTGTCCAGAGCTATAAGTTTAGAGTTTGGACTATCAAGTGCTGTGAGCCTAATGGTTGCTTATTAGCATTGAAAAGATTCATGCAAAGGAGCTTTGTTTTAAATTCATTATTTAGTTTTTCATTTTACTTTCTTATTCTGTTTTTGGCTCAGTAACTGATATGATACAACTTTTACAGTTGGGCATTTGCTGCAGTTGTATCCCAACTTCTCTCCTTTGTCTCTACATTCATTGGGTGAGAAGATAATTAGTAAACTTGGAAGTAGGTAGTTAGAACATTTATCCTGTTCTGTATTGCAGATTATCCTGGGCTATACCGTTTTACCACTTGATATGCTCATTCAGTAGTATGTTATAAACATCTTTCCATGTCACAAATATGTTTCATCAATATAATTTTCAATTTTCAGTTGCTACATGATATTTAATCCATAGGTTATTTAACAAGTCTCTCTTTTGGAAAATTAAGGCTTTTTTTCTGTTTTCTCCCTAATGTATGTGATTTTGAGATTAACCTTCTTATATTGTTTATTGTTTATTTTGAAAACCAGTGCTTTATAATTGTCTTTACATAGCTATTCAGAGAAGTATATATCTTATGGTGAAAGCTGGATGCTATCATTTTATTCTTTTGTGTGCCTTAATGGACTTACCCTAAACATAAAGACTTGAAATTTCATTTAAGTAGTCCTATAATGAAAGCATCCCTCCTAAAAATCTTTATGATAAATTATATAGTAGTTGAGGAAAATTGATCAGAAACCAGGCTTGTTTATATTCTGATGTAGTTTTCTACTGTTTTAGTCTGTAGTAAGATTTACTCTGTTTGAAACATGCTTTCAACAAATGTTAAGAGTATATTACTGGTTTTCATGTTTGCCATGTATGAGTTTTTTGCTTCTGTGATTTGTGACTCTGCTTTCCACTGGTCTGCAAGGATTGGGTGACTGATTTATGTAAGAAAACAAGATTGCATGGGGTTAACTTTTAATTTATGAAAGAACCTGGTAACAGAAGGCAAATTAACTCTTGTCAACAGTACTTATAGAATACATTTTACTTTATTACAACTTTAAAGTCATAATTTTGCCTAGGCATATAGGATTAAGATATTAAATAAATGACTATAGAAAGCATCCTTTTGCTTATCTTCAATTCACAGCAGTTTCATGATTATTCCCTTGGTATATACAGGTTCTCAGCTTATATAATTTTAAAATAAACTTTAGTAAAAGATTATGTTAACTGATACTGCTCATTTTAAATTGGTACTTCTCCTTTCTTTAAAGGTTTTTGTTCATTTTTCCAAACCCCTTATTTAACATGGCACAAAGACATTCTAAACAATAGGGGCCTTGCTTCTTCCACTTGTGAAGGAAGAGAACAAAGGTTATTTTCATAAACCCAACTCCACATTCCAAAAGTACTGTGTTTTTTTTGTGGGAAGGGAAGCCTGAATGAATTTTTAGAGTGGATATTAAATGCTAGAATACCTCAGTTATAAAAAAGTTTGAGGGCAACTTCAAGGTTCAACACTTACCCCAACTGCTACTTAATATGTACACATATTTTCTTATAAGCTGTTTCACTTTAAAAGAGCCCAGGTTATCTTAATACACTATTATGTATATCTTATGTTCAGGGGGTTGGGAGAGGAAAACAATCTTAAGCAGAGCTACTGTAAAAAGTTTTAGATGACAAAACCAAACTCTTCCTTGTGGACCAAAGAAAGCCTAGTTTCTTTTAAAACACACAATTACAGAAGTAGCTAAAGAACTTTTATTAGTCCCTATATATTTCTGAGATTATTCACTTCTTTTGGTTTTATTATTCAAATGAGTAATCATACATGTACCTTAAAATAGATAAAATTGCTTCTATGAATGGAAAAGTGGATGTATTAACTTTTACTGATCTTTTTTACACAACTTTAAAAACTAAGTTTTAAGTCATAATGTGTTCTATATGAAAATGTAGGTCTGTGCATGCTGTAACTGCATGAACATACATCCTTCTGCAGCTGTGATATTGGTGGTTAATTGGTAGTGAATTCCTCCAGCTCTAAATTGTTAGACTTGGGATATTTAGCAGAGTGATCTGAGAGTGGGCAGGGATTGGGGTCTGACGTTGAGAACTAGCACAGGGGTTTGGAGGAGTCAACAGAGGCTAGGAGATAAAGTTAAGAATGCCTAGGAGACAAAAGAAGTAAAAAACTGGATACCCTTCCTTGTTTCCCTCTTCCTTCATTCTCTTACTCTGCTAAAACTTGAACAAATGCTGGGGAGTCACTGGAAAGAGCTTGCAATGGCTAACTTCTGTATGTATTTCTTCCTCTTAATTCTGCCTTTAATCTTCTCTCCAGGTAGTTCAGAGACTTGGGATTGGCAGGTACTGATGTCCTGGGATGTAAAAGCAGGGATTTTTCTCTCTTCCCTCTCCCTGGGGCTGCTGTTCCCCTTTGCCCTAAATTTTCCCCACAACCAGAGAAGACTGGGTTGTTGAGAAATGGGGCAATAAATTGGAGGGACGGTAGGATAAGGAATGAGTGATTTGGAAGATATAGCATCAATGGAATAGTGAGAAGCATAAGAGGAAGAAAGTCATTCACTGTAGCAAGTAATAAGAAAGTGTCTGGGCGGACCAGCTGAGGCCCCTCTTCCGGCATAAGCTGTAACTTAGTAGATGGTTATTTTTGAAAATAATAGAATTTGGGAGAATGGAGGGACTAATCTCCTTAATTCACGTCCTTAATTTGTTACTAGTCATTAAAAATTTCGAAATAATTTTGTTTTAATGTGTGTGAAAAGACTTCCTTTAATCTCTAAAAACAAATTGCAAAAATAATTTTTATTTTCTAAAGCACTTGTTTTGACTTCTTTAAACCATTAGTTGGCAAAATACTTTTAAAAAGCAATAAAACTACTACCGCATGTTTCTGACTGTGGCCTGTATTCACAAGAAAAACAGTACATAGACTCTATTACATAAATATTTTTGCAGTTAGAAGCTGGCCCTCTGGATTATGTACGAAGAATTGGTTGCTACATACTGCAGTAGTTGGCTCAAAACTAAAACTTCATTTTTTTCACTTGTATTTTGATCTGTGCATTGGCTATCCATAAAATTCAGTATTTTTAAAAAACAGCTCTTCCATTAATTTGTGTGGACTTACATGGAAGTGACCCAAATATTTTATATTCTTTCCATCCTTGTCATTTGTAGATAGGGAAGCAAAACAAAATAAAACAAAACACAACTCAGTGCTTATAATAGAAGGTTTTTTTTTCCTGTTTTTTTTTAAAAACATATGCTGCTATTTTTCCAAGTATTGTTTATGCAATTTTAGTCGTACCTTAAAAAAATTAAAAATATATTTTGTTCAAGTTCATAGACAAGGCTCTCATAATAATGTTCTGTAGAGCTCCATTTTGCCCAATTAGATATTTCAGCTTGATGGGGAAAAGCCTTAAAGATTTTATTTTTGCCAGAAAAGGTTAAAAAACTCTTCATTACTTAATCGTTCTTGCCCTTGTTATCCTCATCCCAAGGGATATAATATTTGACTAATTCTGCCTTGTGAATTTGAAACACTTAACAATAATGAGGAACAAGGGTCAAAACAAAAGCAAAAGCCCCCTACCAGTATCATTTCTATGATGACTATTTTTATAACTTTCACTAGGTAATATAGTTTACCTTTTCTTTTTTCTTTCATGTAGAATATTTGAGTTAATAATCTGGCACATCAAATACAGTATACTGCCAATTCCTTGGGAAAAAATTTTTGCTTCAGCCTTAAAAATATGGCAGAGATGATTCATTTACACCCTTAAGCAAAGTTGTCTGTTACCGATTGCCTTTTTTCACTTGCCATGGTAACTAACTGGAGGGACAACTAATCACATTAAAGAGAGAATGATGCAAACCTTGTGTGAGGGTTTATGTGTGTATTTCTGGGAAAGATTTTTACATAACTCACTAACCCATAGACCTTTTCTAATTTTATAATTGTGCAAGGATAAACCAAATGTCAGTACACGGATATGTTACCATAGGAGGAACACTGGACTAGGAGTCAATACCTTTTAGACAAGTCACTAAGTAGGGGTTGCTATTCAGCTAGAATCCCTGTATAATCAACTATGTTTCTGACATTGTACATCAGTGCTGGTGTCCCTTTGGTGAGTAAGACAGGCTTATTCCTTGCTCTTGTGTAACTTGTGGTTAATATGTAAAACCACTTACATTTTGTGATATGGTTTCTTGTTCTGTAAAATGAAATGCCCACAAATATAGTAGGGAACAAAACACACACATGGGGAGATAAGTAATGTTATGAGAGGTAATAATTTTAAATAAGGTGGTCTGGTAAGGCTTTATTGAGGAGGTGACATTTGTAGAGAGGAATCATGGATATCTAGAGAAAGAGAATTCAGGTAGAGGAATCATCAAATGTAAAGGCTCTGGGGTGAGAGAGTACAATTGTGTTCAAACCAACAGTGAAAAGGCCAGCGTGCCTGGAGTAGAAGCAAGAAGTGGGAGATACCGCAGCAGGTGGGGAAGAAAGGGAACTGGGATCAACCTTCTAAGATCCTTCTGGGCCATATAGGGACTTTTGCTTTTGCTCAAAGTTAGAGGGCTTCAAACGGAAGAGGAAGGTAGTTTGTTTTCAAAGAATCACAGGTGCTCTACTGGGAATATTTGTAAGTAAGAGATTATGCGATTTTTCTTTTTGTTCTCTGTTTTCTATTCCTAAGAAATTTTTTCTGCCTAATTATATTTTTCCAGAAAGAGAGTAAGCTTTTGTATGTTTACTATTAGATAATAAAAGGTGACTAAGCCACATAAGCTCTTACTCACTTTAAAAATATCTAGGACAATTTCAGTAAGTGTATCAAATGATGGATCAGTATGTAATTGATAGTTGATATTATCCAGACCATATGTTTTATTTATATTTTTAGCCTTGGAGCTCTATTTTGCGGAATTGGAACTTCTTAGCTGTAACACACCCAGGTTACATGGCATTTCTTACCTATGATGAAGTGAAAGCACGACTGCAGAAATACAGCACCAAACCGGGCAGGTAAGACTTCTTGACAGTCATGTTATGTGATGTAATGAAGACGAAAAGTCCTTTATGATTCCTTTCTAAGTAAGTCAGTAATACCCATGAGGTGGAGGGATGGCGGTGCTCATACACCAAAACAGTGCTTCTTGAGTGAACTCTTTAAAATGATACCTTGTGCTTGTTCTGAAACTTAGCGTTCATAACATGAAAGAAAATACTGTGTAAGTTGATGAACTTAGAGATTTATTAAGTCTCAAAGTTCCGATTTTCAAATTGGAGTAGAATATTAGTATATTGACTGTTTTCATGATTCTTGTGTTTGTGTATAAAATTGTATCTATCAACAATTGACTCCAAAAAACAAACTCAGCAAAGAAGAGGTACATACACAGAATCACGGACATGGAGAGCATTTTGATGGTTGCCAGATGGGAGGAGGGTATGGGGAAATGGCTAAAGAGGTAAGGTAAGAAGTACAGAAAGGTAGTTACAGAATAAGCGTGGGGATGTGAAGTACAGTATAGGGAATGGAGTGGCCAAAGAATATACATCTGACCCTGGGACATGAACAGTGATGTGGGGACTGCCTGAGGGAGTGGGGTACTGGGTGGAGGGAGAAAGCGGGGGAGTAAGAACAACTATAGTAGCACAATCAATGAAATATAATTTAAAAATTGTATGTGTATATTTGAATATTGGCTTAATGTTCATTTTTAAACTATTTTTCAAGACATTCAATTTGGCTCTATGATTAAACACATAAATACATATAAACATATATAAATACATAAACATATATAATCCAGTGTTATAATCCAAGCCAATTTTATGTCCATGAGAACTTTCATTATATTCCATGCCTCTTTACAGCTGCAGAATTTATTTTCCAGATGATAAACTGAGTGAGATTCACAGAGGTTTGTTCAGTTTCTTTTACTTTGCCCAAGAAATCACATCTTGTTAATGGCAACTCTGGGATCAGAAAATGTCTCATCCCTGCTTAATGCATTTTCCCCACATCTCGTCTGGAAATGCAGTAGGCACATACTAGCCATTGGTGCCGTGGCCAGGGAAGTGCTGGGTGTGGCAGTAATGGCAGTGGAAACCTGTCCTCACACTCTCTCATTTGAGTAAGGAGTCACCACTTCAGTGGCCATGAGTGTCCTGATTTTCACATAGGGGTCATTTCATTTTAGGAAGGAATTTGGTTGCTTTTTTAAAGTCTTTTTCTTCTAGTATGATTTTTATTTGATTCGTATTGCAAATGGTATTTGTCTTTTAGCAAAGTCTTTTCAAGTGCAAGCAGGTATTGTTGATTACTTTCTTTGCTATAATGAAAATTTCCCCCTTTTTATATTAATAATTTGTATGGCATATAAAACAGTTTCGCTCATGTTGAAGTCTTCTGTTAAGATTAAGAAGAATTGGTTTTCATCGTGACTATGAGAGTAGGTCAGATAATGTTGCATGTCGACAGTGGCTTAAATGAGTCATTCTCTTTCATCCAAGAGTTTCCCAAACCAGGATTTCCCATGACTTTTACTGTCTAGATTGGCATCAGAGTATCTTTTTGTTCCTGAAGTATCATTTGAAAGTGTGATGTGGTTGGAATCATGCAGTCTTACCAGTTTAACAGAGAAGTTACTTGGAAAATTAATCTTGTTCAATTCTTTAAATATAATAAGGAAACTGAGTCCCTTTTATGTTCTCTTGTTTAAAGATCTGCAGAAAGTTCGTAACAGTGGAAGCAAAAGCCAGGTCTCATCACTATTGGAATAGTTCTCTTAATAAAGAGATAGTCCCCTTTGGAAAGATGTCTCCCTTTTTTTCCCAACTTGCCCTGTAACAATTTATTCTACTAAGTTTCAGGTAGTTAAAGATGAAATGTTTAGTCTGTGGTAAATCATAATATTTAAAATATGATGGAGTATTGAAAACGTGATTAGGAAAACTCTCTTAATGACTAAGTCAAATAGTTTTGATAAATATTAGCTTTACAGAATATATCTGTTTAATCTTTTGTCTTGGAAAGTGTTCCAACCCTGGTTTCATGGTAAAGAAAATAGCTGGGCCTTTTCCAAGGACTTTTGGGTTCCTCAGATTGTACTTAATTTGGGATGCAACTGGCAGCCATCAGTCTATATGGACTTTTCTTTATCTGATAAAGGATGCCAATAAATGATAGGTTGATACTCTTTTTTTCAGGCTGTTTAGCAGAATGTTTTTAAACTTTTCTAAGAACTTCTTTCCAAAACTTCTGTAAGCAAAATGTGGTTCTTAGTATTCATAGGTCAGCTCTTTTCTAAACACTTGAAAAAGGATATTTTTAAACAATGATAGTTATTAACAACCAAAATACATAATTTTTAAATTATGAAGTATTGAATTCCACAATAGGAGCTGGCTCAATTTTTGTCTGATATGGACAAGTAAATTTTTTACTTATTTATTTTTACTTTCCAAAAATGATTTATGTCATAGCTTTTTCTTACCACCAGCACTTTTATACAGAGTATCCCCTACTGGTAATGGCAATAAATCGTTCGATAGTTTACAACTTAAATTATTTTCTGATATAACTGGAGATATTTGAGTGAAATGATCATTGCTTCTCTTACAGATCAGTAAATGTACTTCAACAGTGTTAAAATAATTTAGAAGAAAAATTCATATCAGGAATTCTAAGTGATTCTGTTTATTGTTTTGCTTAAAAAACTTAACAAATTGTATAGTACTTATATACATTTTGAATGTAATTCAACATATTTTTTCCATGTTTTACAGCTACATTTTCCGGTTAAGCTGCACAAGACTGGGACAGTGGGCCATTGGCTATGTGACGGGGGATGGCAATATCTTACAGACCATACCACATAACAAGCCCTTATTTCAAGCGCTGATTGATGGCAGCAGGGAAGGATTGTGAGTATGAGAAATGGATGTCAGGGCATAGTCACAGATGTGAAGAATACAGACTGCTCTGAGACGGAGAGAAGGGATAGTGAGGCTGTGGCATGGATGTTTTTTATTTCGAGAGTAGGAAATGGATGCTCCTTAGTTTTTATTGTTTCTCTCTTAAAATAGTCATTTTAAGGTAACCTAATTATTTGAATTTCGCTATATATTATAGCAAATAAATTCCAACCTGAAATGATAATGCATTTATATCTTTCATAAGAAAGGAAGTTGCAACTTAAAAGTTGTTTTAAAATAGATCTAAAACTGTACATACACACACACATACACACAGGGGTGGGCAAAAGTAGGTTTATAGTTGTGAGTATGCCACACAGTTTGTCCTTGTATTATTTATTAATTATGGTATTATTTTCCATATGGACAACTGTAAACCTTTTGCCCACCCACAAAGTCCCTTCATAGTAAACATAGCCATCATTCATTTAGCCCTATGCCCATTTTCTCCTTTTGTTGTATTTTTTGTGTCATTTCATCCCACTGACTTTATGGCCCTTTGCCTTCCTGAGTAACACAAAGACATATGTGATTCAGTCGCTGCAGCACGGATTGTGGTAGAAACCTATCAGGAGGTCCACCAAGCCAGCAAAGAGAAAATGATTTACGTTTTACCTTTCCAAAATTGCAAAAAAAAAAAAAAAAAGAAAAAGAAAAAGTGATGGGATTATGTGAAGAAAAAGAATGCATTTTTTTAAAGTTGTGAGCTTTCTAGAAATTGTCATACAAGAATTATATGACAAATTTTGGAACTAAGTGTGTTCTTCTCTCTTTTTCTCTTAAGTATTATAACTTTACTCTTAGTTATTTGTATTTTACCTCTAGTGCAGCAGAGATTCATATGTGTACCTTTCATTCACTATGATTGCAGGATTTTTGATTTTAAGAAAATGTGCCTTAAAGTTTTAACTTATAAGTAGAGGTTATGAGTGGACTAATCTATCATTTGATATAGCTTATTTATATTGTTATAATGCCTTCCATCTAGTATTTTTCAAAAGTCAATCAAAAATAACAAACTATAATTTGTAATCAGTAGTCTAGCCTCCAAACACCTATATAAATTAACTGTTAATATTTACACAAGCATACTTGCATACACAAACATTGTCATGGGAGTGGAATTTTCACTTTGGGGATAGATTACATTAAAAATAGATCAGATTGAAATTTTAATATGATTTTAAAATAGATCAGATTTTTAGATGAGATTAAAATTGACATTATATTAATTAGATCATATTTTGTTTTAAGATCAGTAAAAATATGGGAGGGATGTCATGTATCTAGTTCAGCTGTCATCAGGGTCAGCTGTTCTTCCATAGCTAATCCAGTATTGTGTGACATCGGTGATAAATTTATTTTGATAACCAGCCAGGATTTGTCCTTTCTTTACTGCCTTTACAAGGGGCTCATCAGTGGCACCCTGGTTTAATGAAGACAATAATCATTGAATTGCCCTTCATATGTTGAATAAAAAGAACCTTTTAACCTGTTCTCTAACAACCTTATTGTCATAATTGCAATCTTTCATTTCAGACTTTTTCCTAGAATTTCTACATGTTTTTGAAGTGTGGTGATCAAAATGTTATATAATAATTTTTAAAATTGGCCACTTTGGGGTATAAAATGAAAGTTACTTAACAACTTTTGCTTATCGCCCCACATTTAATGTTTGTGGAATTTTATCCCATCTCTATAATGACACTCTAAATTTGTATTGTAGTCAGATGTAGTCAACTCCTTTTCTTAAATCTTAAGAAATTTATCTCACTGATTTGTTCCTTACCACTTGAGAACTGTCTGTCCTTTTAAGTTCATTTTTCTTGGGTTTCCCTGGGTATATTATAACACTAACATATTTTAGACTCTTCATTTAAGGATAAATATTTTTTGCTACTTCACAGAGTAGTTTTAGTGGTTTGTCCTTTAAAATATTCACCATTGTAATGGTATATTCTCAATTTTTCATTTAAGCCATCTAGGACAGAAAGATACAGAACAAAATTAACCAATACTTAATAAATTGACAAAATCCAGCAGTAATACTGCCATTTAAAAAAATGTAAAATAGGTATTTACCAACACAATAAACTTTATTTTAGTGAGTTTCTTAGTAAAAACTTTTTAATACAACAAGATGGCACTATTAGTATAACTTTTATTTTTAATTTCAATTATGTCTAATAATGGTACTTTATAAATCACTCTTTGTTTGTAACTTGATTTGAAGTAACTGAAACATGAAATTGTAGTCCTTTCTTTAAATGTGTGTGTGTGCACACGTGTACGTGCCGGGTGCGTAGAAGGTGAGATGGAAAGAAATAGGACGGGATGCTGGAGAACTGGTAACACTGTGCAAGTGTTTGAAGAACTCCTGGGGGAAACCAGTGGCCTTAGTTCCAGTTTTCTCTACTCGTGTTGTTAAGCATGATGTAAACTGATACATTTAACATTGACTGTGCTTCAGATGAAAGATGTAATAATTGCAAAAATATGTATATTCAAAGTATATTGGAATAGAACACAAGGGACCATTAAAACAAATGTTTAACTTACCTCATGGACATATAGTAAGGGTATTATTTGAAAATGGTTGCTTAGTGGCTGAGTCCATACTTACTATGTATTTCTTATGAAAATAATTTCTAGATTTTAAATGTTTTAAAAATAACATAACAATACGGCACAAATAATGCCCCTTTTTATTACAAAATCATAAGCATGTAATTCTGTAATATAACAATATCACACTCAAGAACACCATATGATATATTAGGTGAAATGTGCAAATAAAACTATAAATTATCACACCCATATTATTACCTTATCAGCCACACTTAAGCAGGCATTACTTCTGCTGGACCCTGTATTACGGAAATAATTATAGAATAGGTTCTTGATATAAGTTCCATAAAAAAAGAAATATACAAAGGTATGATTAAATATAGAAGAATTTGATTAAATAACTTAATTGTAATTAAAACTGATTTGTTTATAGTAATAAAGTTTCTGTTTATAACCCAGCTACCTTTATCCTGATGGGAGAAGTTACAATCCTGATTTAACTGGATTATGTGAACCTACACCCCATGATCATATAAAAGTTACACAGGTAAGGACTATTTGTGCAAATGTATTTATAATTTATAAGTATCTATGATACCTTTGACATAAATAAAATTCTCTACTTACACTAGAACCAAAATCACCTACGGGGTACCTAATGCAAAGATAATGTAAGGAATTCTAAGATTGTTTTAAAGTAAAACACATCATTTTTTCCATTTTTTAAATAAAAAATTTCTGCTGTTAATAGCCTGCCTTTCAATATAATTTCGTTATTTATTTGAGGAGATAGATAAATCCACAGGTAGATAGATAAATATGGCAGAGCTGTAGGCTTAGGAAACTCCATAGCAGACTAGGATAACTCTAGGCATTAGCTTTCATAGTCCAATGAATAAGTGAAGCCAGTTGAAGTTAATAATTCTTATAAATTCATTGTTGGTAGTCTCATAGATTATGAATGGGAGTGTAACGTGGTAAAGCCTTTCTTGAGAGTGACATTCGGTATTTATCAAAATCTAAATAAAAATATCTTTACACTAGATTCCATATAAGTATCAGTTGCATATACACTCAGATCTGTACTCCAGGTATTCACTTTAGTATTTTTCATAAAAATGAAAAATTAAAAAATACTGATATATTCTATCATAGGTTAAAAAATCATATGTTACTCTTACTATATTATACCATAAAGTCATTAGCAAGAGGATGGTTGTAGCTCTGCATAATCACACGGGCATCTCTGCATTTTATGTAAAAACGTTCTGTTTATGGAAAGTCTAATTATGTAACACTTCATTTTGTAAAACACATTAAGTTCAATTTCTGTAAGTAAAGAAATTACCAAATATGAATATAAGAATATATTTTTAAATAATAAAAATTAAGAAACACCAGACTGGTAACAGTGTTTTAACTGAAGAGGTAAAAATGGGGAGTCAGGGAGAGGATGGAATGATCTTTTTACATATAACCTAGTTTTAAAATACCTGATAACATATATTTTTGTGCTTTGTATAATAAATAAAAATCTTGTAAAAACAGAAAGTATGGGTTTGACGGAAGACAATAGGTAATTTTTTATTTTATTTCTAATTCTTTAGATTTTAATCCCTGTGGTCTTGATATTAAGTGAAACATACTTGTTGACATATGTACAGTGTTGTGGGCAGCTTTTAAACTTTAATATATGATTTCCATTTTTTTAAATTATGTAATGATACTGTGCCCTATAACATTTAAATATAAAGTGCTTTATATTTTATAAAATTCTTTTTTATAAAACCATTGTTTAAAAAATACATATTCAGGAATAGTCTCATTCCCTTAAATGACTTACAGATATTTGACTAGCTTACCGCTTACATTGCATTAAATTCTGCATCTAGGTTTTTAGCTTAATGGTAATATTTTTTTAATTGCAGATTGGTCCCTTGGATGTCAAAACCAACATAAATACTTATGTATTTAGGGACTTCAGTGATTTATAATTTATATTGGGTTACTTTAGATTTATTTTTTCTTCCCTGATCCATTCTCTCTTCTCTTTTTTCCTTAATTAAAAAAATTAATATATAGTCACACATACATTTATTATTGTAACAATTTACATATGAATGTGTATATGTATATAGGTAAATCTATGTACGTATATATAATTTTTCTCACCAATATTGTCAGATCTTTTAGTAGGTTAAGTATTAAATATTGTCATTTATTTATCCTACTGAGTACCAGGTATGTAAGCACTTCCTAGATTAGAACATTGTCTTATTTAAACAAATTTTATTTCTATAATTTTTTATATCGCTATTAAACAACACTTTTTTTTCTATTTTCTTTACATTGACCCAAGATATTTGTATCTCCTATGTCAAAATATTTGAAACTAGTAAATTAAGAGAAAAAGTTTTAATAAAACAGTTTTTGGTTGCTGAGGTGATTAATTTGGGAAAAGATTATCAATTTAGAATTAGAGATATAATATAGAATTTGAGAAAAAATTAAACTGATTGACCCTCAAGTATTTTTTAAAATTCAGTATATCTTATTATGTTTTGGAAATGATAGGCAATAAATGTGGGCCACCATACCTAATGTGAAGGAAGGCTTGGCAAATGCTGCTTTTCTTCCATTCTGGGATTTCTATAGCTAGCTAAGAAATAAAATTTAATGTACAGCCAGAATCATGTACATTCACATATATATTTGTATTTTGACAATTAAATTAGATGAGTATGTGGCATTTACAAAGAAAATAAAGTTTATTATGTTGATTTTTAAAACCATAAGTATTGTCTTTTGTATTACTGTGACTATTGAAGCAAGTCCCTTCCTAAAGGAATACTATAAAACATTAAAATAATTCGAAGTAATAAAAAAAGCCTATACAATTTCTGATAGAGGCTCAATTCTTTTTAAAAATTATTTTGTAAGTCAAATGATCATTACCAATTTATAACATGTCTCAAATAGCAATATAACTCTGACATGATCAAGTGCGAGGATGTACTGTAAATCATTGTATTTGAGAAAATTCAACATTAACAGTTCATGCAACAGATACTTTAACATTACTTTTTTCCTCCCCCCAAATTCCAGGAACAATATGAATTATATTGTGAAATGGGCTCCACTTTTCAGCTCTGTAAAATTTGTGCTGAGAACGACAAAGATGTCAAGATTGAGCCTTGTGGGCATTTGATGTGCACCTCTTGTCTTACAGCATGGCAGGTATAATCAAGGGTTAATTAGCCACGTGAATATCTTTCTTATATTTCCTATCAATATTTATCTTTTCAGTTCTCTACATCTTAGTAATTTAGGAAATAGTAGTGATAAGTACTTTGTTTGAATAGTTAGAAAAAACCCATGTGTTTAAGTTTCTTTAATTTATATAGTTTGATTCTTTTGTAGAATTAAAATTTTTATATTTTGATAATTTTATGCTACTTTATTTTATATCCATCAGCATTTATTCTCCCATATCGTCTTCCACCTTCCCTCACGCCTCTCTCCCCCTCAGTGACTGCACTGTTGTCTGTGTCTGTGAGTTCTCTCTTTTTTTTCTGTTTTTGTTCAATCCCTCCTACACACCACCACTGCCCTTGAGCTGTCAGCCTGCTCTCCATCGACGCATTTGTCTCTGTTTTGCTTGTTAGTTTATAATTTGATTATTTTGCTGTGCTTCATATTTTGTTTCTTTTGCTTGCATAACTTCATATTAGTCATAAGTAGTCTACTTGTATTAAACTCTTTGCCTCAAAAAGTCACTTATCCATGTTACCAATTAACTGTATTTACACAACTTACCACAGATCAGATTCTACGTAGAGTAGGTCAGATTCTAAAGCAGAGTAAACCCTAGTAGATAAATTGTATGTTAATGTTTCAACCACCTCTCTTCTCCTGAGGTAGTTTGGCTCCTGTCTCACATATGCCTGCTGTTGCTCCGTAAGGCTAAAATAGGAGAATCCAACAGGAAATGTCTCCCAAATATTTATGGTTCACTCAGAAACAGGCATTAAATTTTTCAATTTACAGAAGCAGAATCGAAGATAAACTGCCTCCCCCTCTCTAGGCAGATGTTCAATAAATATAAACTGATTTGATGTTTTTTAATAAGACCTATAGAATAACTGGGTTCCCCAAGGGCTTTCTTATATTTCTTTAAGTGCAATAAAGGGTGAGATTTTAAAATGGATCTTTGAATAGAATTTCCAATATTGAGTATGTGGAGGGTTCTCAGAATATTTTGGTCAAACCATTTTTAACTGCTGTTTAACACAGCCAGTATTGAAGTGAATATTGTTGATGGGATTGAGAAAGCAAATAATTAAATTTCAAGCCTTTTTTAAAAATTGCAGTTAAGTATTAATCGACATCCCTACCCTCTTCCGGAGCCCTCTCAGTCCTTGGTGTTTCCTCCAGCCCAGACCTCAGCCTTGCCTGGGGAAGGACGGCTCCGGAGGGTCCGGGCAGGGGCAGCCAGACTAGAGGAGCCTTGATGCCTGTTGAGCTCATTATTCAGTAATAAAATATAATGATTTTCACCTCTTCACAGCCTTATACAAAGGGCCTTCTTCTTCCTTTGGGGATATTTTAAAAATGGATGAAGAGAAAGAGGAAGAACTAGGAAATGAATTACAATTGAGTTTAGTTTTTCAAAGCCATCCCTGAACTCCTGATTTCTTTGTTTACTCAGTTAAAATCATTCAACATCCCTGTATTACGCACTGGGATTATATTTTACTTCAGTTTTCCCCTGATATCCTTGCCCTAATTTCCCTTTATTCCTTCATGATGGTGGTGAATTTTACACGGTGTAGGAGAAGTTGCAGGAAGGGGGATATTTAGTGTGGCATCAGTGAGCTCATTCTCAATTTCTGGGCATTTGATTGCTATTTAAGTGTTAGCAATAATAGTTTGCAGACTTAGAAATGTTTTTTGTAAATAACTTACAATAAATTTAGTTAAGTTGATAGAAGGAAAAAATATTTGCAAGTGTGTTTCAAATGCCACACTGTCTGGGATGAGAGTACTTAAGGACGCTTTGCATTTACCTGATACCCAGTTGGTATTTCCGTGTTTAAACTGACAGAGGTTAATTATGTGTGTCACTCCTTTGGATTGACTTATGCCTTGAGGGTGGTAGCATGGTTCTCACAGGTAAAAACAGTAAAAATTTGCATTCCTCCCTAAAGAAAACTAGAATTTTAGGTTGGCACGAACTCCCAGTACTCTCTGCCTCCCTGGATAACCTGTGCATTTAGCCCCTCCCTTGGAGCCCTGTCTAGAAGCACAGTCACACACACACTGAGGAACTTGGCATCCTTAACTTGATACTTAACTCATATTTGAAAGTTAAGTGGATTAAAACTAAGAAACTTCCATTAGTTTGGCAGACGCCTTTGATTAATAAAAGATTATTGTTTAAAGTGTTGTATAAAATAGCTGTTTACCTGTTGCCTAGTGTGAATAAAAGAGCACAACTGGATATAAAACAAAACAATATTTTATTTTCTGAATACTTTCTGAAAGATACATCTTTTAAAATTTCAGGGTCAACGCTATATATTTTAAGTTTGTGAAGTATTTGCAATAGGTATGTTATGTGCAAAAGGCACAGGGACATTTCCCAGTTGTTGGTGTTTTATTATTCTTTGCCCTTTACATTGCCACATTGCCACAATATTTCTGTATATTACTTTGCATTCTCCAAATGGTGTAATTCCTTTTGCTGGTAGCTGATCAAGCCCTTGGTTCACTTCATGATTTTTCACATTGATCGAGTGGCCTTGTATGATGATATGTCTAATCATACTGATAAATTGTTAACATTTGCTTTTTCTCTGTTTTATTATGAAGTACATTTCACTTCTCAGTTTTACTTTTAGAAATTGAGGAAGTGCATAAATTGCCTTCCTCAGTCTGAATGAAAACAGTCTGAGTAGAATTTTAGGGGAAGCCATATAAGAAAGTAGTAATGAAATAGTAGTTTGCTAAGTGAAGTATTAGCAAAAAAAATGACAAATTCATAAGTACTCAGAAGTTGAAGTAATAATCAAATGAAACCACACTCATGGCACTAGTGATTAAAGTTATTAACATCTTAATATGATCATAGAATTTGCACATAGATTAATGAAAAATATGCTAAGGAATTATTTCAGCATTATTTGTAATTCTTCCCACACAAGACAGTTCATGATTAATAAATACTTTTCTTATATATGTTCCTGTAAGCTCTCACTTCCTTGTATTTGTATTGTAAATATTTGCATATTTACCTTTTTCTCCTCTAGAGTAGGGATTACTTTACCTATTTTAGAATTCCTCTCACTGAAGGGGCATGCTACCTACCTACACATTGTTAATTATGATTATATGCTATAGACTATGTAAAGGGAAGAAAAGAAAAGGGCTAAGATTACATTAAATAAAAAGACATTGATACTGTAGGTCAGCCGTGAAAAGCCATTGTAATGTCTCTGTTCTGTCCATTTCTCTTCTGAGAAGTATATATGATCTTATCAAAAAACTTTTCTCATGCCCAAAAAATCTGAGAGTGAATCCTAAGAATTTTAAACCCCACATTGATTTTTTTTTTCCATTCTGTAGTTGAGTGATTCCCTTCAACTTTTCACATTTTGATTTTTTTCCACTTATTTTTGAGCCACATTATCTTAATTTTATTGCCTGCAATAATAGAACGTAGAGGCATAAGGCTGAGTTTCTTTCTTACTTTTTTAAAGATTTTATTTATTTATTTTTAGAGAAGGGTGAAAGGAGAGAGAAAGAGAGGGAGAGAAACATTAATGTGTGAGAGAAACCAATTGGTTGCCTCTTGCACATGCCCCAACTGGGGATCGGGCCTATAACCCAGGCTTGTGCCCTGACCAACCTGCAACCTTTCGCTTTGCAGGACAATGCTCAACCAACTGAGCCACGTTGGTCAGGGCAAGACTGAGACTTTTTTTATTGCTTTTCCTCACCTGGAAACCTGCATTGTGATCCCTTGTTCAAGTTTTCTCTACCCTTAAGAAAACTGTTCTTAGGCCAAGGTTTGAAAGAATTCCAAAGTGATATTCCATACATAGTCTCTGTATCTCAATAGGATCTTGGTGGTTAAAGGAAACTTCAACTTTTGGACATTTTTACTTTGGATAACCTGAGTATTTCTATATTTACATACAGATTTCACACCATGATGCTTCTTGATAACCAGCATAACTGTTTTGGCAGCTTTCATATTGTTGTATGAACAGCAGTCTTTAAGAGTCATTTAAACATGTAATCGCAAAATGCCCCCATCATTGAATAAAAATAAAAGTCTTACGTAGTTGACAAACTACATATTCAAAAACCCCACACTGTAGCTTTAGTGAACTGCTCATTGGACTTAACCTAACTGATGGTGAATTAGAGAACAAAATTATTGAACATCTTCATAGTTCTGCAATATACTGTCAAACATTGTATCTAAACCTGTAAATTTAATGGGAAATGTATGAATATTAAGCCTCTGGATATTATTGCGTGTACTTAAAATGTCTCTTTTTCAACTTTGTCCTGATTTAAAATGGTACAGGGCTAGAGTCCATATGTTCTGACTTTAAAGCCAAGTGTTTTTGTTTTATATGCCTGTTTGTTTTTTCTTTGAAGAAAAAGTTAAGTTTTTATACTTAATTATGCACAGGAATAATTTATTTTGCATTTCCTAACTGGTTTGGTAGAAACAGACATGGATTGTTTCATCCATCATTCTCCATGATTTCAAATCCATTCGTTCATTTACTAACTTACTAACCTAGGAAACATTCCTTAAACAACTGCTATGTCTTGAGTTCTGTACCAGTTTCTGAGCTAAACACTAAGAAACAGCCCTTACCCTCAAGCAGCTATGTTTTATAAAGGGGCATGGGTTAATATTTGCTTAAAATGGACATCCTATTATCCTTTAAATTTACTTATGGATAAGATGTATTTTTTGTTACTTCCTCTTCCTTTGGTTGAGCATGCTGATTTGTAAAGGATTTTAAAGGCTGCATGTCTGCCAAGAAGCTCTGATAAATCAGAGGCCAATCGGAAAAATTAAACCCTGACCATAAAACATTATGCCTATGTAAACTTCTAGCAAGTTGTTCTTTGCCAACCTTTCCTTTCTTTGATGCCCTACTTTGTTTTAACTGAAATTCAATGGAGACTTAAAGTTTAGGTAATTAACAGAAACC